ATCTGCTCACCTCGCCTTGCTTCCTGGCTGGCCCAGCCTAATAAAGTGTTGCCATCCCACCAACCCCTTAAAAACCTTTACAAAACTGTTCTGTGTGGAGGAAAGGGCTGGCCATCTCCTGCACCTCAGGGAGCAACCAGGTCCTGAGCCCCTTTTCTGCACTGGCCTCTGAAGGCTGCTGGTACAGACCACACGCACACACCACTGGGTCACATCCCTTTAATGACCCTGTTCAGTGCAGGATGCTGCGGAAGGCAGCCATGTGGCGCCGCACGCTGTCTGCAATCTGCTCAGCTGACCTGGCCCTGCTGTAATAGTCTGTGAAGAGGCCGTCAGGGCTAAGCAAATAGATGGCGATGGAGTGGTCCACGATGTAATCCTGGTCCTCGTCCTTGGGGCCAGCGCTGTAGTACACGCGGTAGCTGCGGCTGACCTCGGCAATCTGCTCAGCTGAGCCAGTCAGGCCCAGCAGCCTTGGGTGGAAGTCCTGCACGTAGCGGGCCATAGCGGCCACGTCATCCCGCTCAGGGTCCACAGTGATAAAGAGGGGCTGCACGGGGGGCAGGCCAGGCTCTGTCTCCAGCTGCCTCACCACCTGCACCAGCTTCTCCAGCTCATCTGGGCAGATGTCGGGGCAGTGAGTGAAGCCAAAGTACATTAGCACCCACTGGCCCCGGAAGTCGGCTTTGCAGCGAGCCTGGCCCCAGTGGTCCAGCAGGCTGAAGTCACCCTGGCCCACAGCAGCCTGACGCAGGGCCTCTGTCCGCTGTTGCTGCCGCCGCTGCTCCTTTTCTGCCCTTGCAGCCAGCCAGGCCCCACCTAGCCCAGCCCCAAACAAGGCTGTGATCAGCAGCCTAGTTCGTAGCCCAGGACCCTGGGGCTGGCCCTGCCTGCCAGCCTCCACAGGGCCCTGCCTTGACAGGAGCCGGCACCTCACATGTGGGGCCTTGCCTCCTGGGGTCCTGGGGAGGGCAGGAGGCTTGAGCTGAAAGAGCCCGTGCCAAGCCTTGGGTGCCCGAGCCAGCAGCAGCATGGACCTGGTGCTCCTGGAAAAGAGCATAGGTTTTGGAGCCAGGAGGTGCCTCGGCCTCCTGGGTCATCCTCCATCATTCTGGGGAGACTCGCCACCATCTTAAGGACCAACCCCAAACGGGCTCAGCTGGGCTCAGAAGTGCTTCACCTCTGAAACTTTGCACTCTGGCCTAGGTGTTATCAAATGTCCCTGCCTGTTCCTCTTGTC